AATCGGAACTGAGCATTAAGACCTGCAGTGTGAACGTAGCCAATGATTCACTTCCTCAGGAACCTTTGAATCAGGTACCAAAGCAGTGACGTAACTTCGCCACTTTCGAAGCTTCGGACGTCACTGATCATGTGACTTTTACCAAATGAATCAAGCTCCGACACAGTGCTTCTGAAACAGTGTGTTGTTTTTTTTCAATACATGCATTGAAGCTTCAGCTTCAAACTGCCCATCACTACTGGATAGGGGCTCTCGAGGGTCAAGGTTGGGCAGCCCTATGTGTGCAATCTTTTTTAATAACATTGCATTAAGTTACAAGTGTTGGAATATATCACGTGATCAGTTACATTTATAAACCTTACCAAAACCAAGGATTTATGTGCAAGGATGTCGGACAAATACTTGGCCCCTCTATGAATACTGTGGCCCCTTGATGGCCTCTAATCAGAAAAATCCTAGATACGCCACTGCTTCAGACACGGACAAGATTATTCTACACTGACTGTATAGAATATTTAAAACCGAGTGTCAGATCTGTGAAACATATTTGATATACTGTACATTTATGAACAAACTGAGCACGGTCACGTGAAGAGGTAAGATAAATATACTGAAGCAGTAAGTAAGCAAACTTTATATACATCTCCACACCAAATGTAGGTTTAGAGAAAATAACTCAGCTTATGACATGATTGGAATGTTTAGGCTGTTTTAAGAGTGACAGAGGAGGAGGAGGAGCAGAAGAAGAAGAAGAAGAAGAAGAAGAAGAAGAAGAAGAAGAAGAAGAAGAAGAAGAAGAAGAAGAAGAAGACCATCGTTGCGTTTTTTTTTTCTTTTACGTGACTCGTTTATCGTTACAACATGCGTCGCCTCTGTTGAACTGACAACTTTGTGCGTTGCCGACGTCATTCAGTTTTCTATAAATAATACACATGTAGTTCTACCCGAATAGGACAATTTTCTCACCGTTTTCGCTTTCTGCCACCAGGAACACCTTCTCTTTAAAGTACCTCCTGTGTGCGCTGTACGACTTCTCATCATCTCCGCTTCCTTCCGTCCAGTGAACGTGAGCGTCCCCTTTAGCTTTCACGAAAACGCGCTTAACTTTGGTGTCTTTTTTTAAATTAAAGGACACCATGCCTGCAATTATATCTCCCTCTGAAAAGGCGCCTTCTCTGTCACATGTGAGGGTTAGGTTTTCTATCGGAGACATTTCGGATTTGAGCTTTGACTTCCAATCTGGACCGGACCCTCCTGTTAGCCACAGCAACTTTTAATCTGTTGCATCCGGGTCCGCCCTAAAACCAGGAAACATCCTGGATTGTTCAATTTCCTGGACGTTTTGTCATCATCCTAAACAAGACAGTTCTTATCCTCACACGGCAAGTTATTCAGGTTTGTGTTTGCATTTGGTTCAGATGTCAAGCCCCTGATTAAAAGTCTTTATTTGCTAAATCTAGTAGCTAGTTTGGAAGGTGGGTCCTGCAGTAGCTTTGAATAGCCTATTGTGTGAGTGCAGTACAAATAAAGACTATCCTGCATTTCAATATGAACTGAAAAACAATAAAAGCAGCAGGCTAATTATATTTTTAGTAAATGCATACGATTGTGTATTTCTAGATCATGTTAAAAATCAATTTGTCATGAGTTACAAAATGTTTTACAAAACAAAATAAATTGTTTCAGACCCCTTGTAAAAATACATTAAAAAATCAGTGTATTGATAAACTAGCATTTTTCAACTCATTGTTTTCTTTGCCATAAATCTCTCTCTCTCTCTCTCTCTCTCTCTCTCTCTC